AGGGACACGACAATCTCATGCCATGTCCGTGCATCATAAGTTGGTAGAGTTGTATGTCGAGGAATTGGTGGAGTTGATGGTATGTGTTGAGTTGTTTTTATTAGTAGTGTAGCAATTCCTACTTTTATACTATCTATATTGATTCTTTCGAATACTAGTTTACCCTTACATGTTTTCATATAGTTAAATTGCAATAATCATACTTGATACGTGAGTAGAGCAAAGATAGGCTACTGATGGTTCTTTTGAGGTCATACTGGTGGTGACAGTATTGATCTTTTTGGAGTTATCTCAATATAGTTCTTGTTGCATATAGTGGGTTTAACCAACTACTATGGTTATTATTTAGTATATGGATTATTATACATATTTATATACTTGTATAAAACTTTTATTTCTCTAGTTGTTGTCTCAATTCTTACACATATATATTATAGCACTTTATTTTCATATGTGGCTTACATAATAATTTTAGGTATAAGTTGTGAAATTATTTATCTACTACTAATAGTTAGACAATTAAGTGTAGTAATATGACAGATCGTTACAAGTACATTATTATTATTTTTAGTATTTTAAATAATATCTTTAAGACATTAATTAGAATTTGTCAAATTTTAATTATAATGAAAATATTTGTTGTATTTAAAATATAACAATCATTTAATATTATTAAGTAGTAAAATATAAGAAGAAGAAGAAATATTTTGATATTGTGCTCTTTGAAATATGATAGATTAAAGATAAAAAATTTATAAGATAAAGAAATAATAATATAAAAATATTTAATAATTATATTTTAAATAACTAATAATTTTTAATTTCTAGCAAAAAATAATTAAGATTACAATTCAACCCATTTAAAATAAGAAATGTAGAAAGTGTGTAAAATCATAATAATTAATTTAAATATTAAATAAATCCTCTAAAATAAGAAATACACTTTTAAATGATAAAATATTAAATTTCATGTTAAATTGTACTTTTGATCTCTCTATTTATGTTTTTTTTTATTATTATTTAAAAATAAAGATATTTAGTTTCTTTATTTTTAAAAGTATAAAATTTTAGTTCTACTTTCAATTTAAAATTCATTAGTCAATAAATTTTGACTTCTGTGCCACGATTTGTCATTATTTACGTGACGTGTTATTTGTTGATGCAATATATAAGAATAAAAATTAAAAAATATAAAAATTATTTGTTTGTATTTATTTGAATAAGTGATAAGTGTTTATTTTATTAATAAATTTTATTTACATTTTTTTCCTTATCTCCAATTGTTGTGTTATTAAATATCACATTTCTTAAGTAAAAAATAAATATTAAAATTTAATGATTAATAAATGTTAATTTGACAAAAAAATTAAATTTTTATATTTTTAGAATTAAAGAAACTAAATATCTCTATTTTTACTAAACTTGAAAATTGACAAAAAGAAAAAAAGAAACAAAAAAGAATTTAACCTAACCCCAAGCGTGTGGTTCAGCGGTAGGGGTTGATCCACGCTTAAGCAAGGTCAGGGGTTCGAATCCTGCCTTGTGTATGCAGCCGCGTTAAATCTTGGGGCCAGCTATCCCACCCTTTGAGGTGCCTCCAACGTAGCGAGGAGATTAGTCACTGCTGTCGGCGGTGGATACTCCAGGAACGAACCTAAAAAAAAGAATTTAACCTAAATTATAATTATTTATTGAAAAAATATAACTATTACCTTAATTTCAATACTTAAATATTTTAAACTATAACAATTTGATAACTTACTATATAAGTATAAAGAATTTTAAGCTATACCTTTTCTGAAAAATTAAATTATTTCCAAGAATTAATAGTTACAATTATAATAAAACATATACACGTATGTAATAAATTATAAATTTATTAAAAATCTATTAAAAGTTTGCATCTGGCAGCTTAATCTTTTAAAACCCCGTCTCATTTTTCACGTACCATATCCTAAAATATAAATATTAATAATATGTTATAATTTTTTTTTCAACAGTTATTATTAATTGTTACTGTTTTTTTATTTATTTTATTTGGACATTATGAAGTATAACAGAAGTTAGAGATGCAATAACTATGAAATTCAATTTTTTACTTTTACAAAATATATAAAGAATTTAAGAAATAATTAAGTATAAATGTATAATTAAAATAATCTATATTTGATGATTAAGTGGGTAGTTAAAGTTAAATGTGTCTTTAAAAAACATACATATAAAAAGAAACTAAAAGAATCTAAAATTAAAAATTTAATACATTATGGATGACATTTCTTAAATTTAAAAGTGAAACTAAACTTATCGAGAAACATTCATTAAGTTTCAATTATTATTAAAAAAACATTAAAGCCATACATTAAGGCTATATAACATGTTCCTCTAATCTGACTCACCTTAATTTTAACGGGTTTAAATTTTAAATTTTAAAGTTATTTTTTAATCCTTAGATAAATAATAATATTTTAAGAATTTATATAATTATAAATATTTGTGAATAACATCTAAGATGATCATTTAGTCTGATAATAAATAAAAAATTGTTGACAATTACATAAAAAATAAGAATTAAAAATAATATTTTATATTTTATAAAAATAAAAAATTATGAAAATAAAAATCAAAATTTATTAATTTTATATAGTCTAAAAGCATATTTAAGTTGATATAATAATATAATTTTATTTTAAAAACATGTCTTAGTTTAAGTGCAATTAATTTGTATTTCTTTAATAGTTATTTTAAGATACATAAATAACAATTATTTTAAGAATCTATATAATACGTTAAAAGTATCAAACATTGATATTATAATCATTTAGCCTATTAATAAGCAAAATGTATTTAAAAATATCACTTGAGAATTAAGCACTTAAAATAATAGTCTCAATTTTATGATAACTATGAGGATAGTTAGAGGGTTAATCTCATAAGTAACTTGATTAATGCAAGAACAAAATCGTGATAGGCTTACACTTAAGTTGTGTTGTATTTAAAGATAATATTAGACTTTCCTAGTTTAAGTGATAATATTTGAGAAATCAGATGATAGAGATTGATATCCCAATTTAGTTGTTGATCTAGCATGTGCGTAAGACATGAAAATGATCAAGTTGATTCGATAAGGTTAAACTACTTAAACTGCTTAGGTGTTGTAGGAGATCTTCGTAAAATGCATGATGACACATTAGTTGAGGTGTATGCATATGATAGGTGTTGATTGATATTGTTTATATGCTTAGTTGAAAATGATGTTGAATGGAATTGATGCGGTGAAATAGGAATATTCATATGCAATTGAATTTACTTACCATTGTAAGGTTGTTGATGCCATGTTGATTGATTCGTCTTGTTGATTTGTTGTGAATCATGAGGTGTTTTATTGTTGGTTTACATGTTGATGTTGATGATTAGTATAATTGTTTTTACTCTATACATTGTTATATGATTATTTCTTTTGAAGTCAAACTTATTCTTGTATGTTTTCTTAGTATTTGGACTACAATGGACATATTTATATGAGAGTGAGATAGGGTTAGCTGGAGGGTGGCAATGTTTTGTGGAGCCATGCTATTAACAAGTAGCTTGGGCTTCTTTTTGGACTAGATTTATTTAGAAGTTGTTTGACCAACAACTTAGGGTCACTCTTTTATATTTTTGGATTACTGTATGTGTGTGTCTCTATATATATATTGTTACAATAGTTATGTGCATGTACGTATATATTATAATATGATTAGTTATTTTTTACTACTAGTTGCTGATTTCGTTAGGTGCAATGACCATAACAGATCGTTATGTTTTCAAATTTTACAAGATATTGTATACTTGATTTATATATTAAGAAATTTCAATTTAATAATTACATTATCAAGACTATATATATATATATATAGTATTACTTGTATTAATTACTCAAGTTGTTTTAATATCATTGTTTTATAAATATCTAATAAAGAAAATTATATTAACACTAATTTGAATTTACGTGAAGAAGGATGAATATATATATATATATAAATTCTAATTTGTACACTTTTCAAATATTTATCAAAAGTTTATATATATATATATATATTATTTTAAACAAATATTTTTGCATCAAATAAAGATTAATTTATGTCTTATTGACATTTATGTTTCTAATTAATAAAATGTATTTAAACTTAATAATTAAGTATAAAACACAATATTCTCAATTTTATACAAATAAAAAAAATTTATGGAGACTATAACTACTTAAAATATATATTTAAGTGAATATAATAATATCATTTATTTAAAGAAAAAGAATTATTTATTCTAAAAATAACTATATAATATTTTATTATATAAATTTAAATCAACGTATAAAATAATTTTTATAATTATTTATAAATTTGAGTTAATGAAATACAATGTTAAATAATTTTTAATTTTTTTAAAAATTTAAAAATTTAATTTATATACTTAAAATTAGAATTTAAGGGCAATTAATTTGTACTCCCTCTCCTCTGCTTTACTTCTGTCTCTCTCTGTCTTCTGTCAATGCAATTAATAACTTCACACCACACCGCATCCTCTTTGTTAACTCTCTTTCACTTCTTCCTTCTTCCCTCATTCTTCTGCTCTCTATTCTCCATTCTCCATTCCAAGAAAGGTGATCAATGTACTTCCACCACTTCCTTCTTCCCTTCATTTCCCCACTTTTCAACCATTCAATTCTTTTGTTTTTCCCTCCTAATTGCAACCTTCCAACACTTTGCCTCTATGGTATCAACTTGTTTGCTTTCTTTTGGAGAAAAAACCACCAATGCAGATGCAGGATCTGCATCTTCACTTTCTCTGCCTTCACTACTTTGTTTAAATTTAATTTAATTCATAATTAAAAAGTCGCCTCAGACTCATTGCCTATTGAATGTTTCTAAGTTGCTTTAAGTTTCTGAAAGAAAAAAAAAAACCGTTTTTTTCCCTGCATTATTTTGGTTTTCTACACCAAAATCAATTTTTTATTTATTTTTTACTGTACTTCATAGTTCTGAACTGGTCTATTCAGACTTGGCTTGATCTCTTGCGCTGTTACTGTTGTTATTATTTTGGGTTAATTTGCTTTTAATTGTTCGCTTCACTCATTTCTTGGTCTCCTATTGCGACATTTGTTGTTTTCTTTTGCTTGTTATGATAATTACGTAATGTTTACTTGATTCATCTCTCTGTGAATTCTTGGTTGACGAGATCATAACATACCTTGCTTTCGTCCTTTTCTGCTTTTGCGTTATTTGCTTTATCTGTTGTATTTCTCTGCTGTGGGAAACCAGTGTCTGTTTTGTACCGCTTTTCTCTCTTTCTCTCTCTGAACTGTCATTTACCAAGTTTTCTGTTCTACCTGGTGCAGTGGTAAAACCAGGAAAAAAGCTTAAAAAATCAGAGTTTTTAACTATATATACGCTTTTGTATGGATGTTTATTCTCACTCACATGTTGATCTCATTCGGGTTAGTTAATTCAAGTATGTTGTGACCATTTTTCCTCATTTCTTCATTTTACAATTAGATGTTCCTTCTTTGAAATGCTTTACCTGCTTTTGGTTATTTTTTTTAATATTGTGGTTTACTTTTTAATGCCTATTCTTTATCCTCCATCTTGTAAGAGAAGCTATTAAGATAGTGGGGACTTGAAGTAAGTATCATAAGTGTGTTTTGGTTTACAATTGGAGATTCCATAGCCTTGATATCCATTTGATCTTCGATTCTATAAAGATCTAAATTTTGCGAAAAGGCAAAACAGTGATTTTTGGTGATTAACCCGTTTGAAATTTGTAGATACATAGGAGTAGGACACGGTCTGGTGTGTTCTCTGTCTTTGTTTTCTTCAATTTCTTTTTATTATACGGCTTCTTGATTTAATTATTTCCAACTCTTCATTTCGATGCTGTCAATGTGAATTCTGATGAAAAACAAATGACCGGACAGAATTTTAGTATATTCTATTACTTGTTCACATGCTTACATAGTTCGGTTAACTGAGTCTTTCCTTGCTTTGTTTTTTAATTCTCTACATGCAACAAGGGCTTGATTCTTTCAGACCATATATTAACTATAAAATTCTTGTGTCTTCTTTTGTTCAGTTGGTTTCATCATCCATTTAATTAGCTTCCGGCAAATTGTGTCTTCGACCAAGTACCAAAGACCCCAGTTTTCAACTACAAGGTGTAAATTGTCTAATACTTCCTTATGTTAGAGAATCTTTGGGGTTAGGATTGTTTACTCAGTTGAATATACATGGAATCTGAGAGTTTGATTTGAGATGTATGTAGTGGAAAAGGATGGAAGACATAGTTTACACATGATATTTTCATTCTAAAACTGAACCAAATGGGTTGTTGTGTCTCAACAAGCAGTCAGAGTACTTGTAGTAGCAGGAGCAATGTAGACACAATCACTCCAACGTGTCTAGAATTTGGATTCTGTGGTCAAAAGAGTGCAAAGAGAACATTCTCTGATCATGTTGTTTCTCTGCACCAATTACCATCCTTACCAAACAGAATTTTTACTAATGGAAAGAGCAGGTCTTCTTGCATATTTACACAGCAGGGTCGAAAGGGTGTTAATCAGGATGCCATGATTGTATGGGAAGTAAGTATTTTCCTATTATAGTATTGAGTATGAGTCTGTTTGGTTACAAGTTTATAAGAACTTTTGATAGTTTCTCTATTGAACAAAAAAACAACACTTTGTTTTTAGTAGAGAAATTCTTAAGAACTTTTCTAAACTTGTATCCAAACAAGTTCTATGTACTCTTCTCATTGAATGAAGGGAGATTTAGTTCATTTTGAAAGTTGACATTCTTGGTTTGGATCCTTATTTGTGTAGGATTTCATGTCAGAAGATGTGACATTTTGTGGTGTCTTTGATGGCCATGGTCCTCATGGCCACCTTGTTGCACGCAAAGTCAGGGAAGCGTTGCCACTAAAACTGCTTTCATTTTTGCATTCCTCCGAATCAGGGCGAAATGGTTCGGGTAAAGATTGTTTCAGAGGCAACATGAAGCCTGAAAGTGGAGAGTCTGAGAAAGATGTCCCTGCTGAAGATAAATTGAACTCTATGTGGAAAGAAGCTTTCATGAAGGCATTCAAGGCTATGGATAAAGAGCTGAGGTCTCATCCAAATTTGGACTGCTTCTGTAGTGGGAGCACAGCTGTCACGATAGTGAAGCAGGTATCTCAAAAGACTAGCATTTGTTCTGATGTTTATTTATTTATTTTTTTTGTGAATTTCATGTTTACCCTTCTTTTACACTTTTTTATTTTATTTTTTTTATTTTCTTCACTTTCCAGGGTTCAAATTTGTTCATGAGCAATATTGGTGATTCCCGAGCAATCATGGGATCAAAAGACAGCAATGACTCCATGGTGGCAATTCAGTTGACTGTTGATTTGAAGCCTGATTTGCCAAGTGTGTCATATACCATCATCATATATCCTTTCTCTGTCCAATCTATGTTTTTGCAAACTTACTCAAATTTGAATGTAAATTCTTATAGGGGAAGCAGAAAGAATTAAACGGTGCAAGGGTAGGGTATTTGCATTGCAAGATGAGCCAGAAGTTCATAGGGTGTGGTTGCCTTTTGATGATGCACCAGGATTAGCAATGGCTAGAGCATTTGGAGATTTTTGCTTGAAGGAATATGGTGTGATTTCTATACCTGAATTTTCTCATCGGCAGCTTACTGACAAGGATCAGTTCATTGTTCTTGCTTCAGATGGGGTAAGAATTTTCAATCTCATTTGCTTTTATTTTTTGTTCATTTTTTATGCTGTATTGAAAATTGTTTCATTAAATTTTGCTTAATGGAAATCTTGAAATGTGTTCCACAATTCAAGTTACTTTCTGAGGGTTAATAGGCGGTGGTGACTGCAATATTGTTTTTGTTGAAATTAATCATTACCACCCCGGGTCATGCTGTAAAAGAATGAAATAAGAATATGCAACAAGTAGACACAAATGTTTAGATCAGCAATGAAAGACATTGCATTAACTAAATGGTACTTCTGGTAACCGACCTTTATGGAGAACTGAATTTTGGCCCTCATGACAACTATTTACAAATTAGGAGTTGGGACATGATCTTAAAGTTATCGTCAACTCTTTTCAGGTGGTGTTACTCTTTCATGTTTAGGTCTGTGTGAAAGGCATCATAATAGTCAACTAACTTGCTTTAAGCTGTGCATAACCTATTGTTTTCCCTGCATAATAGTTCTATCCCTTGTAAACAGGAAAAGCATGTAGTCATTATGATATTTAAGCATCCAGAAGTGGCATTATAAGCCTACATATATAACAAAAGTGAACTGCATTGTGTAAGATATGATAAAAGAAGAAAGTTTAGAGTACCCTTTCTTCTTTTGACGAGGATACAATATGCATTGAAGTGGAATTTGCATAGTCCACAAAATATACCTCCAAGTATACAGTATAATACTTTCTCCTCTGGACCAAATTGTACATATTGCATTTCTGAATATTATTAGACTTTAGAGCACTTTATCAATATTCCTTGGTTTCCTGTATATGTTGACTTATCTACAAAAATTAACTTTAGAGTATATGGTTTGCTTTATATTCTCCTGAGTCCTGATTCTGCATAGCCAACTTTTGATGTTTTGTGCAGGTTTGGGATGTTTTGAGCAATGAAGAGGTGGTTGAGATAGTATCTTCAGCATCAACACGATCATCAGCGGCAAGGACTCTGGTGGATTCAGCAGCTCGAGAGTGGAAACTTAAGTATCCGACTTCAAGAATGGATGACTGTGCTGTCGTATGCCTATTTTTGGATGGAAAAATGGATGCAGAATCTGATTGTGATGAGCAATGCTTCTCTTCTGCAACCATCCCGTGCAATGATTCGGACGATGGTAAAAAGTCTGAGCCATCTTTGCAAAGGAACTTTACTGTGAGATCCTCAGAAGAAAGTGAAACCTATGGAGGAGTGGTATCTGTTGATGTTGAAGATGGAAAATCAGCAGCTGAAGATCAAAACTGGTCAGGTCTTGAGGGCGTCACCCGAGTAAACTCACTTGTTCAACTTCCTAGATTTTCTGAGGAAAGGCTAAAGTCTTGAGTTTTGTTGATTCAGTGGGAATGTAATACCTGTTGCTACACAGTGGATTCAACAAAGAAAATCTTTCTGTGGTAAATTATGCTTAATTAAGTTCACCAAAATATGGATTCAGCGTCTAATATTGCTTAATATCATATATGAATGCCTCAAGCCAACAAGTGTTGGTTGAAAGTGGCATTCCT